GAAACAGAGTTGAATCCAAGTGTTTGTCTTCAATTCCACTGATCCTGTCTTCCACTGTTTCAAATCTGCTTCTCAGCCCTTCTATGACACCGTTCATTTCTGAAATCTTGTTGTTTATCTTTTGGATTTCTAATTGTTGTCTTTGTATAATTTCTACTTGTGAATTTATTTTGGCATTTTGTTCCTGCGTTATTTTCCTGAATTCTTCCAATTTTTTGTCTGTATTTTCCATGAATTTGTCTGTTTTTCCTCATTTTTGTCTGCTTTTTGCTTCAGCTCTTGGAGAATTCTGAGTATTCGAGATTTGAATTCCCTATCAGGTTGTTGTAGTGCCTTTTCTTCCACTGGAAAGTCATCTGGTGTTTTATTTTGGACGCCTACTGGAACCGTCCTGTCCTGTTTTTGTAAATGTTTGATATTGTCTGCTGTCTTCGGGGCAGTTAGTAGTTATTTTTCTCGTTTACTGATTGTAGATTTGTTTGTTTCATCACTTTTTTTAACATTTGGCTATGTCTGAGCAGGCAGGCTCTGTGTTCTTTGTTGTTTGCTGGTCTGTGGGCACAATAGTTTTCGCCTCCTTCTCTAACTGGCAGGGTCAGTCATTCATATGGTACAGCAGGGCTGGTCTAGCTGAAGAGGCATCAGTGGGACGGGTTGTTTGTGGCACTTACCAAAGCTGCCAGGGCGGGTCAGTAATCAGTGCAGGGCAGGTTCCAGTAGGCTGTGCCTGTGCTGCTTGGTGGTATGATGTTAAGTGCATGGTGCAGGTAGGCAGGATGTAGCAGGGAGATTGTTACGTGTGGAGCTAAGATGGATATGGGAGAGAGGAGAGAGGAACAGGAGCCAAAAACATACAAACAAAGAAAGAAGAATGCTAGGGGAGCTTGCCATTGGAGTGGAGAGATGAGAGACTATGAAATAGAGAAAAACAAAAAGGGGGAGGGGAAGAAAAAAAGGAAAAGGAAAGAATGAATAAATAAAAATTGGAAAGGTTAAAGAACAGCAAAGTTCCCAGGGATCCCACCGGTGTGGCTATGAGGTCTGGGGAAGTTGTTCTCAGGTGTTGCAGTACAGCCTGGCTAGAAGGCACAGAGGTATACAATGCTAGGTATTCAGGGAACAGAAAGAGAAGGAAGATATAGAGAGACGAGAAATTGAGTAATGAAGAAAGACAAAAAGGGAAAAAGACGGAAAAGAAAACAAAACAAGTTTAAAAAAAAAAAGAACGAGAAAAGCCCCCAAAAAACAGGAAAAAAAAAAAAACCCAACAAAAAAAGAAAAGCCCTCAGGGATCCCTCTGCACGTCTGTGCAAGCCGAGCGGGTAGTTTCCAAGCCTCGCAGCACTGCCTGGCCAGAAAGGGCTCCCAACACAAGAAAAGGAAAAGAAAACAAACAAACAATTCTAAACAAACAAACAAAAGCCCTGGGATCCCACCAGCGTGGCAGCCCAGCCCGGGAAGCAGCTCCACGCTTGAACGGAGCTCTGCAGCCCCTCAGGAAGAAGCAAAGATGGCTCACAGAGCCGGGTATTTAAGCGAAAGGAGGGGGAGGTGGTGAGAGGTAAGGAAGAAATCAAAAGAAGCGGAAAAAAGCAACACCAGCAGCCAACAAATGGCACTCAGAGAGCCGGCCCTGGGTGGGTGGAATCCAAGCAGCCAGTGCTTCCCAGACAAGAGACTGTGTCTGCGGGAAGCAGAGTAGGCTGAATGGGGGTGAAGAAGGGTGGGGGTTGGGAAAGCGTATATCGTAAATTACCAGTTGTTTTGTTTCCCGCCGGAAGCTCTGTGAAGCTGCTTTCTCATACCCCCTGTTTGCTGGTCTCCAATAAGAGTCCAAGATGGCGGATCCGTGCTGCGTTAGCTGATAGGGGACCTCTGCATGAATCTCTCCTTGCTCTCCATTCTGTGTCAGTTTTCTCACTCCATTTGGTGCTTGGCTGAGTTCTTCATCTCTTCATTTGATGTTTTAGGGGTTCAGGATTGTTGTTTTCTCTGTTCGGCTTATTTTTTCGGATCTTTGCTATGGAGGGACGGCATGGTGCTTCTGCCTAGAGCTCCATTTTCAGAAGTCCTTTTTTTCTTTTTGCATTAGACTCCTATTTAGATTTATGCAATAGACATGAGCAGAACAATTCAAATTTGGAAATAATAGGCTAAAATATATGGGACTAGGAAGGTGAATAATAAGTATTCTAAAATTTGCTTATAATCTGGGAGTATCAATGACATACATACACAAGTACGTATCATAACAAACCTAATGATTAGCTGTAATTGACAAATGAATAAAATATTAAGATAAAGAATAAATGGTGGGGATGTATCAGGAATTAGGTAATATTTGACCTTCTAGATCTTCAATATCCAAAGGATTCTGCCAGTGGAGTTGAGAAGACAATTTATTCTAAGTAGGTGGGATATGAGCAAAGGTATGGGTGAGTTTTAAAAATCAATACAAGAACTAATGATTTCACAATGGGTTTAGAGAGGATAAGATACTTGGTATTTGCAGCAGAGAAGCTTATACTTTAGAGATGCAAAATTAAATCCCATGGTAAATTTTTAAAAAGAAGTATATGACATGTACACTGAAAATAAAAAGAAAAATTGTTGAAAAAAATTAAAGGAGGCCCAAATAAATGGAAAGACGTCCCATGTTCATGGATTGGATGACATAATATTATTAAGATGACAATATTTTCCTAATTATTCTACAGATTCAATAGCATCTCCATAAAGATCCCAGCTGGCTTTTCACACAAATTGGCAAGCTGATCCTAAAATTCATAAGAAAATACAAGGGTCCCAGAATAGCCAAAACAATCTCTAGAAAGAACAAAATTGGAGGACTCATACTCCAGATTTAAAAACTTACTATAAAGCTAAAGTGATCACAAGTATGTGGTACTAGCATATAGATAGACAGATAGATCAAAGGAATAGAACTGAGAGTCCAGAAATACACACTTATAGTCAATTGATATTTGGAAAGGGTGCAAGTTCATTCAATGGTCAAAGAATAGTCTTTCTAACAAATGATGTTGGAACAATTGGGTATCTACGTGCAAAATAATTAAATTGGACCTGTACTTCACACAATATACAAAAGTTAGTTCAGAATGGATCAAAGATCTAAATGTAGGAGCTAAACAATAAAATTCATAAAAAAAAATAGGCGTAAATCTTTCTGACCTTATAGTAAGCAATGGATTCTTTGGTATAATACCAGAAGCACAAGCCATCAAAGAATGATTTTTGATGACTTCATCAAAATTACAAACCTTTGTGCTTCAAAGGACATTGTCTGAGACTGGGTTCTCTAGAGAAGCAAAACCAGTAAAGCATACAAATATATATAGAGAGATTATATCAAGGAAACAGCTCACACGACTGTAGAGGCTAGAAAGTCCCAAGTCCGTGGATCAGGGTAGAGGCCTCTCCCAAGTCACACAGCTGCAGAAGCTGGCAAGCCCAAGATCAGAAGATTGGAGAGCAGGGCTCCCACTCACAGGTTGTGTAGATCAACGAATCCCAGGTTAGGCAGATAAGCTGACAGCTGAAGTCCCAAGAACAGGAGATGAGATGACAGGAAGCAGCTGCAGGATCCAGAGAGAGCAAAAAGCCAGAACGTCTGCTTATATACAGATGCGGGCCACACCCCCAAGGAGACTCCCTTTCATCTGATTGGCTACTCACAGTATATTGAATCATGGGAGTGATTACATTAAAACACGGAGAATCATGGTCCAGCCAAGTTGACACACAATCTCAACCAACACAGACATTATCAAGAAAGTGAAAAGACAACCCACAGAATGGTGGAAAATATTTGAGACTCACATATCTAGTAAGGGCCTGATATCCAGAATACATAAAAAGCTCTTATAATTGAGCAATAAAAAGAAAATAACTTGATTTAAAAATGGGCAAAGGACTTAAATAGATACCTCTTCGAAGAAGATATACAAATGGTCAATAAACACGTGAACAGATGCTAACTGTCATTAATCATCAGGGACATGCAAACAACATCTCAGTGAGATACCACTTCACACCTACTACACATACACACACACACACACACACTCACACACACACACACAGAGAACAGTTGCCTTCCAGGCAGTTATGACTCATGGCAACCCCATGTGAGTTAGAGTAGAGCTGTGCTCCATAGGGTTTTCAAAGATGAATTTTTGGAAGTAGATCTACAGGTCTTTCTTCTGAAACACCTCAGGGTGGTGATGGTTATACGTCGTTGTGAATATACTAAAACCCATTGTATTGTTTACTTGAAAAGGGTGAATTTTATGGTATGCGAATTATATCCCCCAAAATAAAATGAAACAAAACAAAGAGATGAAAGTTCACGAAGCAATTAGCTAACTGGGTGAGAGTGATTCTAAGGAAAAAAGAAAGCTCCTTATGTACTAACAGGACTGGAAAGCTGTGAAAGATATAAGCAGAGGTAGGAAAAAGCTGGGAATATGTAGACATTAGAAATAAGATAACCTTGACTAGAACCAATTGTGTGCTGCGAAAAAATATAAAAACAATTTGGAAATAAGATTGTGATTAGATTATTCAGGGGCCCTAAGAATGTTATAAAAGATTGCACATGGAGAAATAGGGAATCATTGTATGCTTAAGAGGATAGGGTCAAAGAAGAAAGAAAACTCACAAGAAAAATTAGAGATTAAAATAGAATTAAAAAGCAAAACTAACAAAACGCTTTTAACTGGGACAAGGCCACATTAACATTTTAGTTTGAATTAAAACGTAAAATCTATTCAAGTACTCTTCAGAAATGTAGAAAAAATTTCAGGTGTTGAAGCTCACTGCAAATAAAAGTCATTAAATAAAATCTTTCAGTTTATTGATTTTGCCATACTTAATGTTTGAAGTGGTGATCTGGTATACCTTTATAATAAACTAAATGTCCTACCTTTATTAATATGTAACTCCATGTTTTAACTATATTATCCTTTACTATCACAAAAGGAAGATTTTATCTTGTTTATTAGCTGCCGTCTTGAGGAGCACAGATTTATTTGACATTTGGTAAGTCTGCTGATTGAAAGCTCTGATAGCTCCAAGTGCTTCCAAATCCATTTCAATTTTATGGGGTGAATAAAACCTGTGGACAGAACCAAACTTGTAACCTTGAGTTTGTGAGCAGGAATGCAAGATCCACGCCTATTCCTCCAGCATTCATGGTCTGAATGAAGCAGGTGAGATCTTAGGTTTGAGTTTAGTTCCATGTGTCTACAGCTATAAGCCAGTTTCACATTTTGGTGGACTTGTCTAGTCAAGGCATTTCTAATGGCCATCAACAGCCAAACTCAATAGAGCATGTAGAACTATCCATAAAAAGGGCGTGTTTGTCAATACTCAGGTATAAGTCACTAAGACAATGGCTTGATTGGCTGGCATGAGTAAAGCTTGAATAAAGGGGTGTGGGTATCCTCATTCACCTACTTTTATATATTTATATATTTTGGTATAATTTAGACATTAAGGAAGAAGTGAACACAGTATTCACTTTAGATATAGATTTCCTAGAATAGTTCATAGTAAAATATTTGGAGTGGAGTTGTGGCATATGAAATTACCAGTAACTTTCCACTTTCTTTATTTATTCAAAGAACACTTTCTAGACTTCTGTCAGATGTAAAGTACTATATTAGGCACTTTTACAATGTTGTATAAGGCACAGTCCTGGTTCTAATATGTCAGGAAAAGTGCAAAAAGGAAAAAAAAAGATAAAGAAAAAAGAAATGCAAGAATTCTGTAAGTAGTGAAAAGATTAGACTGATATGTAATCGATCTTGGTGGTGGGGTATGCTTTGTTTTTCTGCATCTTTAACGTGTTCAGTACCTGAAAAATTTTCTATAATGAGTATTTATGACTCTGATAAATAGAACAAGAGAACAATAGGAGCAACAACAAAACATTGAAAAGATTGTCTTTGAGTGTGCAGATAAATAGAGCAAGGTGCCCGAGGAAGCTTGAAAAACAATTGTAGTCTGGGTTGGTAAAACCGGTTGTCCTGGGGTTGATTTTGATTCACATCGACCCATGTGTGTCAGAGTAGAACTGTGATCCACAGGGCTTCTAATGGCTGATTTTTCAGAAATAGATCTCAAGGCCTTTCTTTTAAGACACCTCTGGTTGGACTTGAACCTCCAACCTTTCAGTTAACAGCCAATTGCTGTTAACCATTTGTAACACCCAGGGACTCCAAGTCAGCAGTGCTAGCAAGAGGTTATATATTCTCTTACCCTGACTATGAAGATTTCTGGTCATCTGACCCTGATTTATCTAACCAACTTGAAAGTTCATTAGATGCCTTCATTAACCTTCCTGCCATACGAGCTTACTCTGCATCCTCTGATGAACCCTTTCAGCATTATGTTTTGAACTTCTGTTCCCCATTTTCTGACTAGATAACTCTTATATATCTTTTGGAGTCCTAGTGGCATAGTGGTTAAGAGCTACAGCTGCTAACCAAAAGGTCAGCCGTTTGAATCACACGCTGCTCCTTGGAAACCCTGTGGGGCAGTTCTACTCCGTCCTATAGGGTTGCTTTCAGTTGGGATTGACTTGACAGCAAATGGTTTGGTTTTTTTATATTCATCTTTTAACACTCAATTCTATAGTTCAATTCACAAATGTTCCCACAAAGGGACTCAGTTTATTATCTCTTAATGTGATGCTATTTTGGCACACATTGCACAAGTTTTTGACTTGAGATACTACTTAACATTTGTGTTACTATATGTATGTATGTATATGTACATATATATATATTATATATACGTATAGTAAAATGATTGTAAGTTCCTTGAAGGTGGAGGCCACATATCATATGTCTGTTTTTCCTTCCCATAACCTTAGCATGGTGCTTTATGCATAATTATTTCTCATTAGTAGTAATTGCATACACTTATGCAGAACTAGCTATGTGCCAAATGCTGCCCTAAGGGTTTCATTTGCATTTAGTTTATTTACTCCTAACAATATCCCTATAAGGCAGAAGCTATTCTTATTCCCAGTTGACAGATGAGAAATCTAAGGCTCTAGGTCTACACTGTCCAGTACAGTAGCCACTAGCCAAGCGTAGCTGTTTAAATTAGTTAAAATTAAATAAAATTAAAAGTATAATTCTTCAGCAACATTACTTCAAGAGCTCAACAGTCACATATGTGTAGATGCTACCATATTGTACAGTACGGATTATAGAACATTTCCATTGCAGAAAGTTCTACTGGACATCAGTGGCCTATATAGTTAAATGACTTCTCCAAGGTCACACAGCTAGTTGGTGTTAGAGTTGGAAGTTTGAACTCAGTCAGCCTGGTTCCAGAGTTCATGATCTTACCCATATTAGGATGTGACAAAGATCCTTCATGAGCATAGGTGCATGAGCAAATAACACCCACACCCACACCCACACAAAGTAAGGACTGAAGAACAAAAGGACCTGAATAAGTTGAACATAAAAACGCATTTTCACTGCCCGATGGAGAGGAGGGGTGAAATAGAGTAAAGGGACAGCTGATCAAACCATAATTATGCTTCCTGTTTTAGGTAGAAAAGCAAGAGGATCTAAAGAAGGGCCCTCAACAAAATACACACAGATATCCTAGGCGTGGTGCTAATTCTCACTGATCACTCCCATAAATGTAAAACCTTGATTTACCCAGACTAGAGGTTCTTTTCAATTGCTTCACACACATACAAAAGCTCGACAATGAGTAAGGACAACTGAAGAAGAATTGGTGCATTTGAATTATGGTGTTGGCAATGACTATTGAATATACCATGGACTGCCAGAAGAGCAAAAAAATCTGTCTTGGAAGAAGTACAGCCAGAGTGCTCCTTAGAAGTAAAGATGGTGAGACTTCGTCTCACGAACTTTGGTCATGTTATCAGGAGGGACCACTCCCTGGAGAAGGACATTATGCTTGGTAAAGTAGAGGGTCAGTAAAAAAGAGGAAGACCCTCAAGGAGATGGATTGATACAGTGGCTGCAACAATGGGCTGAAACATAGCAAAGATTGTGAGAATGGAGCAGGACCGGGCAGAGTTTTGTTCTGTTGTACATAAGGTCACTACGAGTCGAAACCAACTCGATAGCACCTAGCAACAGTAAGATATTTTTTATCTGGGATCTAGCTTTTGGTCACTATTAAATATTCATTGAAATGCATTTCTGGAAATAAGTGCCTGTGTTCTTTTTTCTTTGAAGAAAATCCATAGCTTTTATTAGATTCTTAAAGGGATGTGGAACCCACAAATGCTTAAGAACCATTGATATAGTGTAGTAAATCAATTGTCTCAATAGTCTGGAATTTGAACCTGATTACTACATTTAAAATTTGAGTTATTAAGGAACTTTCACTGATTGTTGATGGCAATTTAAATGAGTAACAACTTTTCAAAGACTAATTTGGCAGAATTTTTCTAAATTTAAAGATATGTTCTTTGAATCAGCAATTCCCTTCTGAGTATCTGTCCTACAGAGATATCTGAGTATGTATGTGTACAAAG